GTACTTTATTTATCCATCCATCCATTCATCCATCCATGTATATATTGAAATCCATGAGTTTACATTGACAATTCCATTTCAAATCCACACCACAGGATTCACTCTAGTTTATCTCCCTTTCCTTTTCTAACACTGCAGAACCTGGCTCTCATTATCCTTAATATATTCACTTATTTGATCAGTCCTTTTGTATGTAACCAAACTTCTGTCACCATAACCATTCTCTCTTTTATGGATTCCCTTTTCATGGAGTGTAGGCTCTACCTCTCCATGCTGAATTATCACTGGTTCACCAACTTGGATACTCTTTCCATCATTCTTGGGTTCTTATTCCCTGTTCTGCTACCCATCCTTGTGGAACCTTTCCTCACCTTTCCTTGACACCCAGAGTTAGGCCTTCTGTCCACGGGAACACTGTCCTTAGATTGTGACATCCTACCCCAGGCCACCCCTACATGTGGATGCCCATCTTAGCCTACACAGGCTTAGCTGAGCCACTGTGACTGCCCATCCCCCAACCCTCCCAACCCTCTTGCACAGATTCCTGGTTTCCTTGCCCACTGCCAATTTCCTTAGGACTTAGTTGTTCAGTAAATGAAGAGAAGGTAGAGAGAAGATGTAGAAAAGTAAATAATCAAACATTTTGCAAATACATTATAAATCTGCATGTTAATTCCTACTTTATGATCTAATACATATGTATTTATAACTCATTGTTCATTGAGCTGTGAAATAATAATAATAATGAGGACTATTAATGAAAACCAAACATGGGTTCTAGATTCTAAAATGTAGTTCTATTTTTCAACTAGTTATCGACCTCTTATTAGGCACATGGGTGATAATTAAAACACAAAGTATAGATTAAACATAATTTCTGCCTTTAAGAAGCTTGACATCCTTGAGCCCTACTAGTGAAGTGATAAGCAAAAACATTTTACACATCAATATACTTTATAATAGCACATTAATATATTTTATAATATAGGGCAGCCAATATTGGAATTTTATTCCTAGTATCTAAAGTAGTTAAAAGTCATATGATAATGAGAAGCAAAGATGAATGGCTTTTTAATCTAGTTTTTATTCAATAACTAGTACACATAGGTCAGAATAAACAGTATGTTGATGTGTAAAATGTGTATTTTTTGCACATTACTGGAAAGATCTTTAACTACACATTTTTTCATTTTCTATTTATTGTCAATTAATTTCCAGCCACTAATGATACACATGAATATAGTGTTATCCAGGGTTATAGTACTTATTTCTAGTTGATGATGAAGTGACTATGAACTTCCAGCTTTTTTCAATGTTTTATTACATTCATGGTAATACTTTTGGTCTTTCATCATTATTAATTCATTTAGTATTCATTGTGATAATACTGATCATAATAAATTTATTTCAAATTCATGTAGATGTCATATTTTATTCACTGCTATAGGATTTTCATTGTAATTTGGAACTAATTAATATACCATTAAAATAAAGTGTTACCCACATTTTTCATTTTAAACATAAAAAGTCTAGCAGTTCATGACATATTGTATGAGTATTCAGCATCCCAGTGGTAACCCAAGTATCTGTAAATTTCATTTTTAAGCAGTTAAAAACAGGGCAATAGAGAAATGTGTATGGGAGTCGAATTACAGCATATAAATTAAAACTTAGCAGTAAGTTAACTACTATTTTTAAAATATTTCCCATTAATTAAGATGTATAATTCTTTTTTTTAAAAAAAAAGATTTTATTTATTTATTTGACAGGGAGAGAGAGAGCGAGAGCAGGAACACAAGCAGGGGGAGTGGGAGAGGGAGAAGCAGGTTTTCCGTGGAGCAGGGATCCCGATGCGGGGCTCGATCCCGGGATCCTGGGATCATGACCTGAGCTGAAGGCAGCCGCTTAACCACTGAGCCACCCAAGCGCCCCAAGATGTATAGTTCTTATTATTATATCTGTGCTTATATTTATATACATTGGTGTTCATAGCTCCAAAAAGAGATAATCTTCTTCTTGACTATGTATTACATGTTAGCATTATTACCAGGAGAAATTAGAAAACAAAGTCAAAACAGATAATTTGATTGCTTATTCTGCATTTCTAATGACAGTAATAAGTAAAGTGTAGGTTCAAGCTACACATTAGTTTAAAAGAATTAGGTGTATCTGTATATCTTATTTGAATATTTTTTTCTTCCTTTTTTTTGAAAGATTTTTACCTATTTATTTATTTATTTATTTATTTATTTTATAGAGAGGGAGCAGGAGCAGGGGGAGGGGCAGAGGGAGAAGCAGACTCCCCGCTGAGCAGGGAGCCCTATGGAGGCTGAAGGCAGATGCTTAACCTGCTGAGCCACCCAGGCGCCCCCTCCCTGTTTTGAAAGGTAGTCACTTGTTGACTGTTGGAGGGGTAGGAAAGACAAGCGTTTTCAGTAATTTAAATAGAGTATATTAAAAACAAAGGAAACAGATCTATAATCATATTAAACGTTAGGTTAAATATTCATCAAAAGCTGTTTTATCTCATTATCATGAATTTTACTTCACATCAGCCTTATTGAATAAAATTATTCTTTCCTTCTTCACACTCTGTCATCTTTGAATTGCCTGATCTACTGGATATTGTGTTACTGTATCTTTTCTGTTTTTGCTATAATGACATTTTATATCTTGCACAATCATCTTTTTATTATCTAGGGTAAGATTTTAAAAGAAAAAAAAAGATTCCCTCTAACCCTGCAACTCCTTGAAACATTGACCTTGTCTTTATGACTTCTTCAGAGCTTTGGTACTGCTCAACCATGGTCTCCCTTCCTGCTACCTTCCCATTAACTTCTATGACACTGCAAAATACCGTCTCTTATAATTGGGCCTTCTTTTTTCTTTCCTTATTTAACGTCCTAAAGTTTTGTGAGTTTTCATTTATATAAATGAAAATTTTCTGTATGTGTTTAAATGCTGAATTATTTCTTACTAGCAATATTATGAGTTCCTATTGCACTACATTCTCATCCATACCTGGTATATCTGAAATTTTTGGTTTTTTACTATAGATGTTGATGTCTTTTCACATCTTAGTCTCAGTTTATTGTTTTAAGGAGATTTGTGCTCTTTTATGACAGAATTTTAGTATTATATTTGAAAATGGCTTACATGCAGTCTTCCTTTTAATTTTTTTCCTTTCTTCCCCCCCCCCCCCTTTTACTTTCCTCCCATCTCCTGTTTTTATCTCTTCTTCTTTAGGTTCAGTGATGGTTAGGAATCCAGCTTTTGGAGCCAGAGTACCTAGGATCAAATTTCAGCTCTGACATTTATTAAGATGTGACCTTGGACAAATCCCTACACTTCTGTCTCCCTTAATATCTTCTTCTGTCAAACGGGGATAATATTTTAATGTTGTCAGTAGGTATAGTGAGGGAAGCTTCTGAGTGGCAGTCTTCACAGGGATTAAATATGTCTATAAGAGGCATGCCATTCCCCAAGAGAAAGCAGCTTTGTTAAGACAAAGACTGTTAGGAGAAGAATCAGTTACCTCTGGAGCCACTGGGAATGCATGTGGGACAAAGTGGATAATATTGCTGATTTTTGGATTTTAAAGTTTAGTGGAAAGACCATCACCAAACAATCATGATGCATGACTGTGTTAAATATTGTGGAGAGCTAAGAGGGTGTACAATGGCAAGCCCTACTGTGGTCTGGAGAGTCAGGGAAGGCTCGGTGGAGTGAAGGACTTCAAGCTGTTCTCTCTGCCATTTGGAGTACAATCATTTGAACCAAGAATATGGTTTATACATGTCTCGGTTATAATTTTGTACGCATAGGACAAACATAGAGTGATAATCGAACTTTCTTTTCTTTTCCTAATTGTCTAGAGTGTCCTCTTAACCTTACTGATTTGTGTGAGTTTTCTCCACTACTCTTCACATCTGGATCACTGACTGATGCATAATTTTTGTTTTTCTTTTTGCTTTTGTGAGTCCTTTAGAATCAGGCTTTCAGGTAACTCTCTTTCCTGCTTATCTAGGACTAAAATCCTTCCACTTGTTTCTCCGGCTTTTTGCCACTGACAGCTTAACTGCTCATCCTATTTTCTTTCTCTTAGCCAACTTCATAGTATTGTTTAAGAATTTTATTGTTTGAGGGTTTCTCCCCCTTCTGTTTTTGTTCTAATTATATATATAAATTTAATGAAATCTGTATATTTAATCTAGCATATAATGACAACAAAAAAATAACCTGTCCAAGGAAACACTATTTTGAGGGAATTAAAAAAAAATTAAGAAATAAATGGTTAGCCATTCTTTATTCATTCAGCAAACATAAAGTGCTAATTAGGTGCCAACCATCATTCTAGGAAAGAAATTACTTTGTGGTGCATAGTAGTTGCCTTAAGCAATATCACTTTATCTGACAGGTATGGGGAGGGAGAATTGTAATGACTGGTAAAATTAAAATGGAGATCTGTCTTGACTAAACCTTTTTTTGCTGTAAGTCCGTAAAACCTAACAACTGAATTTCTTCTCTTTTTACAAGCCTATGGCCCTGCCCCTGCTTTAACTTAAATGGAGTTTCTGAGAATTCATTTTACTTAGAGGCAGTTCATTTAACTGATGCAAGTATTTTAATCTTGCATGATATGTGTAGTGGCATTCAAATAGTAAATTCAAGTAATTATGTTTTTAAAATAATGAAAAAAATGCATTTTGCTCTATTTCCTTGTAAGAATCACTGGTAAATTAATTAGTTGCAAAATAGGTGATTATAAAAATAAAAAAAAGTAAAGCTGTTGAAAGCACATGGCCTCTCAGAGAAAGGTTAATTTTAAAAATATAGCTCATGATTTCTGAAATGCTTTATTTAGTATTTTAATTTTATTTAAAATGACATTTGAATTATAATTATCATTTTGGAAGAAATTAAAGGTTAAGTTTAACAGGTTGATTTGCTTTAGAATTATATTAGCCACTAATGAAATGCTTTAAAAAATTTCTTTTTAGTGTTGTAGATATATTTAGGAAAAAGGAGTATGATGCAGCAGTTAAAATCCAGAGCTGGTTTCGAGGATGTCAAGTTCGGGCATATATCAGGTATATGATTTTGTCATGGAAACATCAGATACACCATAAAAATATACTCCTTAGAAATGTAATTTATTCATGCAAGTGCTGATTGCAAATAATCTTTTATTTTACCTATAATGAAGTTAATAAATTATATGATGTCCTTTTTAAAGAAATAACTCTTTTGGTCTTTTCTTATGTATCAAAAAACTATATCAACCATATCTCTAATTTTTAAAAATACACTTGATTAGATTCTTGTCTTCAAATTCCATAGGATGTGACAAATGACTGGACTTTATTTATAGCAATGAATTCACTGACTGATAAGAAAGGAAAAACAAAACAAAATAAAACAAAAAGAAAGCTATTCCAGTCTTCTCCAACATGTTGATAGATAAGGGCAAATGATGCCAGAATGCTGCCATCCTGATCATAAAGAGACTGAAGCTGATCTCCCTATCTTAATTGTTCTTTTTCTTCAGTGCTCAAACTTTCCTTCAGTCTCTCGCAATTCTGAAAAGAATTGCCCTGGATAAGGTGGAGGAGGAAAATGCCTATCACATAATAACTCATTCAGATGGTGAACTGGGGATTATACTGTATAGTTCCTTCTGTTAGCTCGTGGGAGCCAGACTTGCAGATCCAAGTGGGAAGATGAGGTTTCTCTTCTGGCCCCTATACCAACTAGGATATGGCAGCAAAGAGAGTATTTTTTTTAATTCAGCAGATTAACATGTCATTAGCTTGGGTAGACTGGGAAATATAAGCATGAAAGAGAAAGTGTTTCTTGACCTCAAGAATTATTTCTAAGTACTTAATGGTGATTCATATCAATATTGCCTAGCTTATTTTTCAACGTGTTCCTTTGACCTGTTTTATAGTCTTAACATTCAAAAATATTTCCAAGAGTTAGTATTGAAGAATATTTGAAATTTCAGGATGTTTAATCATAAGCCCAAAAGGAATACTGAATATTTATTTCTGCCCCTTTTTCTACCTCTAGAATGGTTAATTCTATTGCAGAATGGTAGCTCTGCCCTTTAAAAGTACACAAAAATTTGGCTTTGAATTTGAGTTCTTGAATTGTAGAAAATACAGTCTAAGAAAAAACTTAAGCAATAATCTCGTTCAAGAAAGCTTACTAATAAATATATTTTTTACCCAGGAATTTACATAGAGTAGCAACTATTATTCAAAAATGGTGGAGAAGTTACTCAGGGAGACAAGAGTATCAACTAATTGTAAAGGTAAATATTATAAAATTTATGTATGTTAGCATTTGAATTATACAGTATGCTGTAACTTAACTGCAGTCATATTTACATGCAGCTTGGGAGTTATTGGTGTATGTATTTACGTAAGAACAAAATTGGGCTTAAATTTTAGAATGAGACTTCTTCTGAGAAGCCTTTTCTGACTTTCCATGGAGAATTGATGACTCATTTCTTTGTACCCAGACTATACCAGACATTTTCTTTTTGTTAAAGTAACTTTCACAGTGTATGCATTTATATGCACTTATTTGTCGATGATTTCCTCCAGGTTCTAGATGTTGAACTGTTTCAGGGTAGGCACAGTAGCTTGTTCATTTTTGGACCATCAACATTTAGATTAATCCCTGTTTCATAACATAGTCAATAAACATTAATTGAATTAAAGTGGCCAAAATTAATTCAACAAAATATAAAAATAAGGCGATTTTACTCTTACCATTGTCTGTTATTGGCTGTTGGGATATTTTGAAGATTTGCCTTAAGAAATGTGGTATACCACAACCATCTCTATCCACTGATAGTCTTGTAGAAGTATATGGTAGCATGCCAACTTACACTTCAGCTAAGAGTTTTAGGATATTAAGAAAAAAAATTTTTTTTGGTACAAAATGAGAAAGTTTCTAATCGGTGGCCTACTTCATTTATTTTTTGGTTTGTTACTATTTTCGACTATAATAGCTTAAGTTTGTTTTTCATTTGTTCCTGATTAGTTGCATCTAAGTGAAATTAAAAGACATAGAGAGGAAAAGATAAAAATAAGTAGATAAGTAAACGATAAGTATTCACCTTTAGTGAAAAAGGTAAGGGGCACTGTAAGGGGCACCTGGGTGGCTCAATTGTTAATCATCTGCCTTCGGCTCAAGTCATGATCCCCGGGTCCTGCGATCCAGCCCCACATTGGGCTCCCTGCATTGGGCTCCCTGCTCGGCGGGAAGCCTGCTTCTCCCTCCCCCACTCCCCCTGCTTGTGTTCCTTTTCTTGCTTTGTCTCTCTCTGTCAAATAAATGAATAAATTCTTAAAAAAAAAAAACACAAAACAACTTTAAAACATGTTGATAAAGTACAGAAACTGCTTGGAGGAAGAGCCTACTATTTTAGATTTAGTGAAATTAAGTATTCAAACAATAATTCTGCCATGAACTTTTTGTAACTGTTGGATCTCTCTTATAGCTAGCTTTAAAATCACAGTGATGCTCTCAGAACACAGATGCTTAACCGACTGAACCACCTAGGTGCCCCATGGGGGTGGGGGGATAGTTCAAAACTATGTGTATGTGTGTGTGTGTGTATATATATATATATATTCTCTTTCTCATCAAGCTTTTTAACACCAGGTTTAGCATTCATTGATGGCTTTGGCCAGAATCAATTATTATATTTGTTAAATTTTTTGTCTTTTTTTTATTATTTACATCAGTATGAACTAATGGATTCCTGTTTTATTCAATGGGTTATAATAAATTACTATCACTAATTGGTTTGGTGCTCAAATTGAGATGGCCAGCAGAAGCTCCTTCAAACAACTTTTAATGGAATCAGATTACTTAAATGGGATGATCAAAAAAATAAGGTATTTTTTATGGAGTGCTAGTGATCTCTGGCCCCATTATTCATTCATAGTTGGGGATCTATATCAATGTATAGACAAGACAATAAAGTATATGTATGCATATGGCATTCCATGAGCATTACTGACTTAACTTCCATTGCTGTACTTTCTACGCACAAGCCACTAGTCAGAAAGTTATGAATGATTGAGACCTCTTTTTAATTAAATATACAAGAGTATAAACATTTCAGTGACTATTGTCAATGTATTCAACTTGGGAATCTATATTTATTCTAATGATGTTGAGGTTGCTGAAAAATATTTTTAAAAATTCATATAATGATCCATTCTAGGAAATTTGTTTTGTTATTTTAGTGTCTTAACTGAATGTGATTAAAAAGAATATCACTCAGCATGATCACTAAGTTATTCTCCAGTTTTGGATCTAATTATCTTTGAGATCTTGGGGGAAAGAAAAAGGAGATTTTCTTCATTTAGCTTGCTTCTGGATAGTTTTTAAGTCTGTTAAGCTGTAAGCTATTTTAGAACACGTCTGTTTTATTAATTTATCTATTTTTGCCATTATGTATATAGGACCTAACAGAAGGATCTCAGATAACATAATTGGACCTCAATAAGTAATTACTGAATGAAACTAAAATTGCTGCCATTTACTGATTGACTAGTATGACTAAAATATCGTAAACATTTTGTGTGTTTAATGTTTATACCAACTAAAATCTTATACAAGTCCTATGAATATTATCACTGTTTTATAGATGAAGAATTTGTCTCAGAAGTGGTTACTTCCCCAAGGACATACTGTTAGTGATACGTGGAGAAAAGTTCAAACCCAATTTGATGTGATTCCAAAACCCTTATGTACTGAGCTGGTAAACAGTTGAAGTTCAGTTCATTATTGGAGATTTTCCTCCTTTGGGTTATACAGAGGTCCACAAAGCATAAGTAGTGCTAACATACCAGAGATCCCCACCTTTGTGCAGCTTCATTCAGAGGAAGTTCATTGTCCTAGCCCATGTAGTTGATCTCTCCAGGTTCATCCCTTGAGAACTCTGTGGCTGGTGGGCCACATAAAGGGAATGGGAAGTTTTGTTGGAGTCACTGTCCCGATATCCCTAGTGCTTTGAGTCCTGTCTCCTCCACAGGTGCCACCAAGTTTATTCCTAGAGTTTTAGCCACCTCCCAGAAGCAATGGGAATGCCACATGTGGTATTACCTTATTTTAAATAAAAAAGCTAATGCCCAGCTCTTCCCCAGGCATGTGGAATCTTGACTCCTTTATTTCTCTTTCTCTGCCCATAGCTCCCCTCTTATTATCTCTCTCCCATGCCAGCATAATTTCTCAGAGCTCAGGTTTTAGGAGAGCAGAGCATGGTAGGGATGGGCAGTCACACAGAAGCCATCTGAAGCAGGAACACATGAATGGCCTGCTACTTTCTTGGGTTGGGGGGTGGGACAGGAATTAAAGATATTGTTTAAGTCTACATTAATTATCCTGTCACACACATAGTCTGTAGTAACTGTGTTTAAATCATCATTTCCCAAATTTATTCTGCATAATTTTTTTTGGCCTAACAGCTATATGCAATAATAACAATGCCATATAGTACATGATTAAGTTACAAAATGAGTGATATACGTTAGTGATTTTAAAACTTAGGGATAGAACCCCTCCTTCACTAACATGTTAGCAAAATTTTTAGCTTTATGTGTAAAACAGGTGTAAAGAGGTGCAGCTGTCTTGGAAGTTGAAGAAACTCGACTGCTTGGACTCTTTCTCTGTGGCCTCTGTTGTCACCTGAGCCACCACAATATGACTTGAAAGCCAGTGATTTAATTTGCTTGTCTGGGAAAGGGTCACAAAAAACTGATGATATTAATTGACTAAGGGAGAAGAAAACTGGGTCCTTAAGGAAGAAGCATAAGAAAGAGACTTTTTTTGGGGTGCCTGGGTGGCTCAGTCAGTTGGACGTCAGCCTTCAGCTCAGGTCATGATCTCTGGGTCCTGGATTGAACCCCGAGTTGGGCTCCCTGCTGAGCAGGGAGCCTGTTTCTCCTTTCCCCCATGCACTGCCCTCCCCCCACTTATGTGCTCTGTCTCCCTCAAATAAATAAATAAAATCTTTAAAAAGAGACTTTTTTTATTATAAACTCTTTTGTAGCTTTTGAACTTTAAACAATATGAATATATTATCTATTAAGTAAATTAATAAAAAAGGATAGTCAATTTAAAAGGGACTCTCCCACCAGACACATGGACAGATAGTAAGTGCTTAAATGGGCAGTTAATGTTATCTCCAAAGATCAAAGAAACAAGACTTGAACTGACCTCCAGGGGATCAGTAAATGGTAGACTGGGAAAAGGGAAGGACGTTTCCATTAGGAACAGCATGAATGAGGTTTCGAAATTGGGAATGAGCATGGTATGATGGGAGACAGGAGGGATGTTGATCTGGATGGCTCAGAGAATTTGGGGACTAGCAGAAGGTTGGTCAGGAGTTGAATGTGACCTTTAAAAAGTAGTTTCCTACATTTTTAAAGGAATTTCTTGTTTAAAAACTATATCCATTATTTAATATTTTCTAGCAATCTGTCAAGTAGAAAGTGCAGGTGTTATTTTCATTTTATAGATAGAAAAATGGGGTCTCAGGAAGATTCATTGATTTGCCTAAAGTTCTCAGTTTCTGATCCATATAGATCCACATGCTACTTATTAAAATATTATCTGCATGCCCCTCAGGTACCCCAAACCTGTTCCTCCCTATATATTCTTTTATTCAAATAAATGGTACAACCATTCAACCCCAGAAGTCCAGTCATCCTAGACTCTCCACTACCTCCTTCTCCCTACCATTTATCTCCTATCAGCCATCAAACACTTTCCATTTCCCATCTTAAAAGTCTCTTGACTTCAGTCTAAACATCATCATTTTACTCTCATGCCTATAGCCCTTGCCATAGCATACAGCCTAAAGTTCACACTCTTTCATGTGACGTGTCCGGTTTTTCGTAGTCTCCCTATTGCTTCTTCTCTAACCTCACTTCTTGCTACACCTGTATAAAATATACTTTGGGCACATTAAATCGTTTGCCATTGTCAAAATATGCAATGTCCTACGGGTTTTTTTGCAAAGCCCTTTACCTTGCCTCGAATGCCCTCCCTCCTTCATCTGACCTGCCTCCCATTGGTCCAAATCCCTACTTATTGTTCCAGACTTAAATATTAACCTTCTCTGAGCTCCTGAAGCTGAGTGTGGAATGGTGGGAGACTGCAGATATCAGGTATGCCTTCCTAGCTTGGTTCATGTAGGCATTTGTCCCACTGTGATACATTTGTTTATCTACATCTCTTATTTGACTGGGAGCTCCTGAATGGCAGTAACTGTTCAATTTACTGTATCTC